ATTGATTTTATGTCCTTGCATTGAAATTGCATCATGATGTCTTACCAGGACCACATCTTTTACACATTAACAGTACGGGTAAAATTAAATAAAAGCAGAAAATATAAACATTAAAAGAAGACAAAACACCATTTTTTGCCGAATTACACATAATGTTATCAATTGTATCTAGTAATAATGGGATTTTGTTAAGCTCTCACTTGAATTATTTAAACACCATAGATTTATTTCTATACGATTTCGATCACTTATTCTCGGGTGGTATTATTATAGATAAATTATAATTATGTACCTATTACCAATATTCATGTTTTTATGCAGACGTTTTCAAAGACATCTAGACATTCCATCAAGATCCTGGGGATAGGCATTAAATAAAGTACCTAGTTTAGTTTATGTCAGTCCTCTTTTATTCAACATAGGTTTATCAGTTAATTTTCAGGTTCACATTGTCAGTTTCAATATAAGTTGGTTGTATATAAATCTCTTAGCTTTTTACTTTTTCATCATCATCAACAGCCTTTACTAGTCCACTGCTGGACATAGGCCTCTCCTTAGGAAGGAGGTTTTGGCCTACTATACCACGCTGGCCAGACGGGTTGGTATAGGGTTTGTTACAAGTTTTCCTTCTCTCTGCAGTGCTGGTGCCTGCGTATTTCGCTCCCTTAGTCGCCTCTTACGACACCCACGGGATGAATAGGGGTGGTGGGGTTTACTTTTTATGTTATTTAAATAATAAAGTAATAAATGACTCTAAAATATGATTACCTTTAAACAAATATGTAGCAGGAATGAAAACATTCATTCATTTTTGGAATAGGAAGCTAAGTTGATTGATTGCCTCGGTGGTGCAGTGGTAGCTTATGCGACTACTAAGGCTATATGCTAAGGTCTCGGGTTCGATTTCCAAGTCGGACCAAATGTTTGTATGACCTATAAATATTTATTTCGGAGTTTGGGTGTTTTCTATGTAGGTATAATATGTAGATATGTATTTACAAAAAGTATAAAAGTATTCTATCAGCTAATCTTATTTTCATAGTACAAGCTCTGCTTAGGTTGAAACTAGATGGCGTTATGTGTCAGATGTCCGAAATACTTGTTTACTTATAGGTTTTTTTAATTTTATTAATGTTTAAGCAATATGTAATAAAAATTAAAAATTATGTAAAAACAGCTACATAAAACTACAGGGTTCCATGTTTTGGGGGTTTACCTTTAGGTACTTTTTTGGTCTCGCATGGTAAAAAAGTCTATACAATGACAGTTCAAGTTAATGGTCAATAAAATAAGAACGGCTGAACTTCACTGCGATCACAAGTAGGTACCTACGTAGCTACCAGTATTGGGCGTAATTCTTTATTTTTGTAATTTTATTTCTATTTCAACTACTTGTACCTAGTTCAAATAACCTGTAGTTCCGACTTACCTGTTGTAAATACATAACAAATAATGTAGTTATGTATTTATTACTACAATTGATATTAGTAATTATCCAATGACATTTTTAGTATGATAGAAAGCTCTCTGAGAAACCTCGCTAAATAAGATAGGTATGAGGTAGAGGTAATTTATTAATAAGCATTAGGTAATTTTGTTTTACTTGATTAATATTCATTTAAAGATTACGATCATACATTTCATACATCATACATTTTGTATGTGATAATTTCCCGTTTGTATTTTATCCTCTGGCATAAATATGGAGACGCTAAAACAAAAATGCGCTTTCTTTATATAATCAGTGCGTTTATGACATGTTACGGCGTGTGTGTATACCGAGATATATTAACAAGATTACCTATCTACCAATAAACTAACACTAATAATTCTTTAAATAAGTAAATAAATAATAAAATTAATGTTCAGAACAAGAATAAGGTTGTAGCTACATTTAAAAAATGATTTACACCTTGCTGTCATTAGATACCTACTTATATAAAGCTTAGTCCTAGAACTAACATGAAACTAGTAGGTATGACTTTTCTAAAATGTGCAAGAGTGAATAGAAAAAAGTGCAATCCTAATATTACAAATTATTTTTGCAATCGGCCTAAGGTAGGTATAAATACCTGTGTTTCAGGCAGTCGCTTGACCGCGACGTTACATACAGAAGGTTAAATATTTTAAAGTTCTAATAGATTCTATAAACTCACCAATGCCAAGACTGAATATTCATTGATAGTTATCAGATTGTTGTGAAATTCTAAGCTTACTTTCTCACAAATTATACGACACTTGTTAATAAGTATATTCTAGACTATACGCATAGCACAAGAGAACTGCCTTATATTGTATAGGTATATCTTCCAGTTAGTTATATTAAAAAAATTACTAGTATACAAAATCATAAAAAGTGTGCGTACTGCGTAGGTTAGGTACAGCTTACGATAACAAAATAAAATCTTAACAATTACCTTTAATTACAATCCCGATCCACAGAAAAGTTTTAAGTAACTGCAATTACCTACTATTTATAAATACATTCATAGTAATCAGTAATTGAAATTATATTTCCAATTTGTAATTAAGTAATAATTAAAGTCGTCAATTACAATTTGTAATTTTGTAATAAGTAGTTAATTATATTTTGTCCAACACTGGCTACAGTGGCTGCCTAATATAAACCTAAGTATACAGCTACAGATTATTTGATAAGTACATACAGAAGAACAGAAGCATCATAGGAACCAAAATTTACGATTATATTGTACCTACTAACTTCTGCGGGGCGGAAGTTAGTAGGCACAATATAATAAAATATTATAGGTATGTCTAATTAATCGAATTTAATAAGTACCTATCTAGTAATGTTCAGATTTTGCCTGCCTCTTTAAATTATATTTTCTTTATATTTTAAACGTCACTATATTTAATCCGTAGTAGGTAGGTACATAAACGAATTAATAAAATGGTACGTGATCGTTTATGTCTTCTGTTATCTCTATTTATTAGGTAAGTACTAAACCAGTGAACAACTTACATATCAACGTATCTGATATTGAAAATAATCTTCGATTTTAGGTTCCTCAATAGATGGTTAAATATTTTGTATAAATAAGTTATACCTAATACAAAAAAATGGATTACATTAATAAGCCTAGGTAAATGTACTTAGTTTTATTTCATCAAAAAGTAGGAATAACTTTAATACCTGCCACTAATTACTAAACACTAATACCTAGGTAAAAGTTTTCTACTATCTAGTATCTACGTAATTAGGGAGTATTTCTTATCACGGAACGAACTGAACTTCGCACACACAAATAGGACAGAGTAACTGATCAAAGTGCGATAACATTATCATAATTAGACTTGCAACGAATATTCGGTTACTATTCGGTATTCGGCCTATTCGGCTGCTTTTATTATATTCGGCCGAATACCGAATATCTACATATTATTCGGCCGAATACCGAATACTTAAATAATATATTTTGTCATTGAGAAATAATTGGTAAAATGAAAAATTAAAAACGATTGATTACGTATATATTCATATTTTTATTTCTGTTATAATCATTTAAGTAGTCATTGGTGCATAACACTGGTACATAATCATCTTCTGAATTGGAAAAATGGAGGATTCTATGTATTTGAATTATTGTGGTAATCAAAATTTAGAAGGGTAAGGTTCTCATTTCTTTTATAATCATTTATTAAGTAGTCATTGGTACATAAAACAGGTAAATAATTTAATTCACGTCTGTACAAGTTTTTGGCGCTAAAATCCAGCCGAATACTTTTGCCTAATATTCGGCTATTCGGTCAGGGGCCTCGCCGAATATTCGGTATTCGGTATACTGCCGAATATACTATTCGTTGCAAGTCTAATCATAATACATAACTAACATATCTATAGGTATAACCTAGGTAGGTTATGTAGGTATTTATATATTTTTGAAACATATTTTCATATCTAATAATCTACTATTACCTACCCTCTAACGGCCATCAACCATTTGACTGAGTTATTGGTTTAGTGGTTAGAGACCCTAGCTGCTCAGCCAGAGGTCACGGTTTCGATTCCCACCCAGGACAAATATTGTGTGATGAGCCCGAACATTTGTTATGTGTCTGGGTGTGGGTAATTTATCTATAATCGGTATGTATTTAGAAATATGGCTGGTTACCATAGTACAGGCTCTGCCTTGTTAGGAATCAGACTGCCATGTGTGTGAGATGTGTGAAGTTATTAGGTATTTATCTACCTATTTTTTTTCGATCAAACCATGTGACTAAACATAGAGATTAAACATACATAATTAGTTCAAGCTGCTAAATATTTAAATACAAACACTATTACTGCCAGGTACCTACAGCCAGGTATGCCACTTGTATAAGATAAATGCCAATAAAATAAAGTACCTACCTATGAAATTACAAATGCTTAGGTACCTATTTTAGTGCTACTGATAGTAATTAAAATATTAGGTACACACTAAAGTACAATATCTACCTACACACATATGTATTTGTTGATGATTGGATTTTTTAGAGTTTCATCCAAAGTTAGGTATGTAGGTATATTTACAACAAAAAATATTTTTTACGATCTACTGTCAAGTAAAAAATGTTTTTCTTTAAATTTTCATGAAAAAAATAATTAAACGTAATTATGTCTATTTTAGGTTCGTATTAGGTACCTACCTGACTACCTAGGCTGTGCTACTATAAAAAAAATGCGTAGACAATAGAATGTAAGTTTTGTCAAAGAATTTATAGTGCCCAGCAGCTAGTTCTTGACTAAACATTACCTATATGACCCAACCTAGCTCATCTAACACACATCTAGACCAGGCGTATGTTCTTAATACCTAACATTGCGAACAAATCTAGTAGGTATCTAGTACCTAAGTGGTCTTAAAAGATGTAGCAACAACACTACAAAAACCTGTTCTAAAATATATTTTTATTACTTTTCAAAAATATGTCTAAAGGAATTTTAAACAGAGCTGCACTTCATTACGGCATTCATTATTTTTGTAGTAATTAGGCAAATGAAACGCGATCGCGGCGTGTCGTGGCGAAGCGGAGTGGTAGAGGCGCGCGGAGTGAACCTTGCTTGCAGTGGGGGCGGGCCGAGTGCTCTCGGCTCTCTCATTGGCCATAGAAAATACCGCCCACCACCGATACTAAAGTCCCTCCCGTTTTGCTTCGCTAGCCACCTCGCCTCCTTCGTTTCGCTCAGTCGCGCCCGCTGCGTCGCGTGAAGTGTATCTCGTATTAACACTGTAACAAAGTAGTGAAGTTGTGACAGCGAGTGTATGTGCGATGCTCGGACGGTGATCAAAGCATGGTGAATTACGTCAACCCGCTCGCCATGTACCAAGGCAAGGGCGGGCAATACGGAGGCGGCTGGTATGGCTGGCAGCATCAGAACTTTGAGGAACAACAGTGGTGTGCTTGGAACGGTGCCCCGACGGGTGGAGAATGGGCGCCGGAGCCGCATCACTTCCCGAAGAGAGAACCCGGGGAGAGAGAAATCGCGGATATGCCATCTCCTGCACGAGGCGACCTCGCTAGCCCTAGTGAAAGTTCTCCTGGATCGAGACCCGCTCAACCGCCAGCTCCTCCGAGGTCTCCGTACGAATGGATGAAAAAGCCCAATTACCAGACACAACCAAATCCAGGTTTTTATCTTTTTTAATTGTTTAGTACATAAGTAAACATATCACGTAATATTTAATAATGTCAGTGGTAAAAAAATGCATCTACCTACACATGATATTATACTTACTAAGAATAAACAACAAAAAAAATCACACACTAAACTCGGTAGTAAATAGTTCAGTATATTTACTAAGTAGGTAGGTAAAACTAATGTTTAACAAGGCCTATTTTCCTCTATGCCATTTTACTTCTATTTATTGTTTCATACCTACAGTTTTTTTTTCATATTTTGCTTTTTTTAACCTTTTTATTACAGTTTTTTTAAAGTTTGATGGTGTATTTAGTGATCAGACAGGTTGTTGCTTCTTTGGACTTGTATTAAAATGTTCAAATAATAGGTTTTAAAGAAGTAGATTGGTACGCTTAGATAATCGAAGTTGCAACAATAAAGTAACAAAACAATGACTTGGTCCGTAATTTCAATGCATTGTGTCTGTGTAGTTTTGTTACTTAGGATAACAATAAAGATATGCGTAAAAATACTTACTTGCTACAAGCGCCCACAATCGGAGCCTCTTTTAATTAGTTTTAATTAATAAATATACAATTAAAGCTTTACAAGGGGTTTACCTCTTATAAAATTACCTATTCCTTATATAGGCATAATTTTATATTTATTAATTAAAAGTACATTAAAAGGCTCCAATAATATTACTTGATCGATTTGGTATATAGCAAACGGAAATATGATTTACTTTGTTTGTTTGACAATTGAAATTTAATTAAAAGGTTTTATGCGATGCTTGTGAAAATCTTGTCATAAACATAATATTATGAAAGGACTTGTTTTTATTGCCACACTTTGACATTGGCATTTTTTGCCGTCGGGAAATGTTTTTCATTTATTTATATACCAAAACACAGACTTTATTCTTGTATGATTTCTAAACTTGTAGGAACTACAAAGGTATCTAGCCTAGGTTCCAACTAACTGTTATATATACCTAACACATAAGTATATCTAATATGTGTAATAACAGAATAATTGTATTGTTCACTTTTAAAATTCAAATTATTGAGTCAAACAAGTTGTTGTCCGAGTCATATGTATTATATATTAAGTGTGTTTATTATTTATGTGTGTAGGTATATGTGTGTATTTGTGTGTTATTTGTACATTCACAATAATAGATTATGTATACCTATGTATGACTAGTGTATGTACCTATATATTTTAGCTTAGTTTTCATGGCATATGGTAATTTAATAATTGATTTAATTAGTTTGAAAAATACACCTGCCGTGAAAAAAAGCCTGCGACATTAACAACACCTTATGCAATATACTTGCAGGAAGTGTAAATAAATATCATTTTCCTGAAGAAAACAAGAATGCACAATGCACAGGAAACTTACGTTACATACCTGCGCCGCGTCGACGGCCATATTGAAATCGCTACTTATTTTATTAGGCTAAGGAAAAACAACTTTATGACATTTTGGATCTTTTTATTGAGTCTGATCCATGCAAACAGTATTACCACTTATAACATTGGAATAATAATACCTTATTTAAAATTAATTTGTAATTATAAAAATTGTTTAATTAATTATTACATTGTTTATATTAATTGATTTATTTTTTGTTTATATTCTTACTACCATGTAGGTACTTACTACTGGTTTCTATACTAACTGATTTATGAAATAAGTATAGAATAACGGATGATGATTCCGCTATTTGTTTCTTTTAGGAACAAGAGCGTATTAATAAATACGCTCTTGTTCCTAAAAGAAGCAATAGCTTATGGTATTTTTGTATAGATAAATCCGAAAATGTTGATACATTTTTTTTTAAATTTTGTCTATCTAAATGTTCTCGTTTTTATCTATGAAAACATTTGAATCCCGTGGCTAAGTCCTGCTTTTCGTTCTTTACTTATAAATGTATCTAAGCATCTCTTTTTAGTAGGTCTTTTAATACAATTTTAATTAAATATGACGATTGAGTGTGGAAAATGGTATCAAAAGCGCACCAACACCACCAATTAAATTTTAATTATTATTAGGATGTCTTAAGCCCTATTTACATTAGACAGTGCGGAGTGCAAGCCGCTGAACTTTAAGCTTGCATTTGTTGGTGGGCAAGCCGTGCGGGTTGGCTACGCACGGGCCCGCAAGGCTTGCCTTGCTGCTTGCTTGTTAAAACTTAAAAACTACATTATATTCGTTCATTTGTTCCGATCCGTACCTCTCATTCATTCTTGACTTGTATCAATATTGCATTATATAATAAGTAAACTATCCAACATTGCCTACCTATAAACTGGTTGCCATAGAAAACCAGTTCTTTAACGTAAACTATTTACATACCTTGATACTTTTATTATTTAAAGCCGAATTTTATGTACATTGGTAGAAAAAATTATTATAAGTTCATTATAACTACTCACCTAATTTCTTTTATTGCCGTTATTAATTTTAATATAACTTTAAGTTAAGTGCTCTTAAAAAAGATTTTTAACTCTCCTGATTTACCTAAAGACCGTGTTTTAATAACTCTATTGCCACGTATTCACGTTTATAGCCCAATCCGTAAATAGCAATCACGCAAGTTATAAAAAAGTAAAAAAAGTAGTTCTGGTTATATTTTTATGAATCTTTTTGATATTGGGAATGGTTTTAAATTGGACCTTAATAAAATAAAATAAATGTGAAAAGAAAACTTACAAAGTTTTTATAAGAAAAATTGTACAATATAAAAGAACAGAACTTCATTAGGTTTTTTATCTTAGTTTTTAATCGTGAAATGAATAATGGGTTAAATATTAACATAAATAAATAAAAATAATTAAAAAGGACTACACAGGTACGTTTATTACGTTTTATATAAGTATATTTATGTGTTAATTTACGTTATAATATAATATAACATATTCAATATTGAGGCGCAAATTCAATAGGTATGTATGTTGCTCTAGTGGTTAGCTATCATAATTTTTTTTTAATGTTATGTGTATGATCGCTTGTTCTGTGTTTGGGTGTAGGTAATTTATCTATAATATGTATGTATGTATTAAGAAATATATAAGTACCTATGTTTAATCCTACACTAACTAGCTATTGGTCAATTTTTTTTTTTTTTATTATTTACAATATACCTATATGCTCGGTTGAAGGTGATAGACCTTCCCCTATTACGTGGTGGGACTTGAACTATAGTCGGCAAAATATGGTCCTAAAATACACAAGTCTTCCCCTTCGGGTATAAAAGACGAATCGACATCGACGTATTAATATAAAGCTCACTGTATAAAGCGCTTAAAACTGTATTAATTTATTATATACGTGAACAATAATATACCGATATAATAAAAACGTATAAATAAATATGTAGGTATACTAGATGTAATTAGTACCTAAACATTTAGAGTACTTACTTACAAAATAAATGGAATAATTAATTACATTTAATAAATAAATTATTTCTTATTTATTGAAATAATTTTGCTTCACCAATTAGGTATTTAACGAGAATACGAACTACACAAATTACCTAAATTAACGTACTTATTAGGAAGTGGGGCTATTGTAGGGCATCAAAAATGATATGAATGATTTTCAGGCAATCTAATATAAACTATGAAGGATAGATTGACTTTTTAGACTTTTTTCTTGTAATATCTATGATTATTCAGTATATTTTTCTATTTTAGAAAAAAAAAATTGGCAAACGAAACGCCATACTCTCCTACCGAACTTTATAAATACTACCTATGTGAATTGTTTAAATCAGACCTCTTTTATTTAGTGAAGTAAAAATTGAATACCTATCCACAGCTTTTAGCATTTGAATGTCTAAACTCACATACCTCACAATTAAATAATAATCGAAATTCGTAATAAACGTTTGTGTTGTTTACGAAAAGGTAACTAAAAATCATAAAATACTTTGAACAAAATAAAAAATCAACTTTAAATTGTTGAATTAAGTGTTAAATTTGTTTATCTAATCAATTAATGTTTATTAAAATCGGAAAGTCATTGCGGACAAAAAGGATATGTTAATCCAAGTTATTGTTATTATACAAATGTCGGGTATTGACTTCACGCTTTGCTCGCTTCAATGTTTCTTAGGTCAAACACCAAGAGCTCTGCGCATTGCGATTCTAATTAAAAGGTAAAACTCAAAGGTGTATATATATATATATATCATTCCATACCTACTCAATAAATGACTTGCAGGCGTTCATTGACTCGCTGCTCCCTCTTTCATAATATACTATACTTATATCCGGGACTACCTATATTTAATATTACGCCTTTGATATAACGATGCAAGTATCTATGAGACAAGGTCCAGTGACGCAGATCCGGCTAGGAAACACGCCGCCTCGAAGGAAACCTGTCCTGAAGTCCTGAATGGAAATCAAACACACGACATCTGAACCGTTTGGTAACGCCTTGTTGTCTGACATAGAGACCCCATGCCTATAGTGGCTCCGTGTGAGCCGCACGGTATCCTCGTAGAGCCAACTACAGGGGGTGTCGGGCTCCCCTAAGTTGTTCAACAGACGAGTAAGCGCAGCCGCTTTCCTCACAAGCTTGGGGTCAGATTCCGGAAGTGGAAACCGAAATCCCATCGATTTCGAGAAATCTATGATATATACTGCTCTAATAATATTGTATCAAAATTTGTAACCTATCCAAAAAATAAAGAGTCACGTATCTACATACATACCTCTACAGAATAAACATGAAACGTTATCTTGTTTTTGGAATTACTTAGATTTCTATTTCGCTCCCTGTACCGAGCTGAACGAGAATAACAAATATTTTTTTTAAAGTTTCGTCCTAAGAAGATACAAAAACAAGATACTGACGCCTTTTTTAGTTTCTTGCTGTATGTAAAGCAAACGAAAGGACAAGATAATCGAAATGCGAACCATGAATTAAAAACACTCGAGTCACCTTTATACTCAAAATTACCTACGCGCCAAAAAATCTTACTAAATAGTTAT